AGGTCCCTTCCAACCCATTCCATGATGATTCCATGACCTGCCTCCCTTTGGCTGATCCCATGGCTAAAGCCACCAGGCTGGGCCTCCCTGTGTCCCATTGTACCTCATCCCAGCCCAGGCTCAGGTCTCCCTGCTCCAGCACTGGTGGGCTCCTCTGAGAATGTGAATGGGGGGGGTTGTTTCTTCAGGTAGGTCTGTGTGGAGGTGTTGTTGTGGGGCTGGGTGGTGCCTGTCCCTGACAGAGGTTCTTGTTCCCTCTCATCCCCTCAGCCATCCAGCCCAGAGAAGGAAGTGGAGAGGGATGTGTTCCTGTTCCGGGCCTACATTGCCCAGGTGAGGTCACAGGGCTGGGCTGGGTGTGGGTCCCAGCCCTGTCAGCACAGGCTTCCATGGTCTGCTGGGAACTCCTCCTGCAGCACTGGGGCATCCCACATTCCTTCAGGGAATCATCCCTGTGTGTGCAGGGCTGGGATAACCTGACAAGACCTCCTCAGGAGGGGACATGTTTATCTTTAAAATACCACATGGGCACACACAGTTCCCTGCAGGGCCAGGACATCTGGCTGCACTTGCAGAGAATCAGGTGAGACATGAAGTAGAAATTCAGTGTTCCTGTTGATTGTTGTTCTGGCTGAGATTTTGGAAAGTGAGCAACGATTTCCTGGGTGCTGAATAATTAGGAAGTCTCAGATTCTTCTTTGTTGCTCTCAACAGAGAAAATATGGGGTTGTTCTGGATGAAATTAAAGCCAGTGCTTGTCCTGAGCTCCAGGCAGTGAGGATGTTTGCAGAGTATCTTTCAAACGAGAGCCAGAGGTGAGTGCTCAGGAGGGGGAGCTCAAACCCTGTCCTGCAGGAAATTGGTTTCCCTGTGGGAAGTTTCATGCAGAAAGGCAAGACTAGGGGGGGACACAAGATCCTTTTGTTTTGCTTAGTCATAAAACTCCCAAATTCTCACTCTTGCTCCTCACAGGGATGGAATTGTTGCTGATTTGGACAAGAAAATGGCAAAAAGTGTGGATGTGGCCAACACCACCTTCCTGCTGGTGGCAGCTTCCATCTACTTCCACGACCAGAATCCTGACGCAGCCCTGCGTGCCCTGCACCAGGGGGAGAGCCTGGAGTGGTGAGGGGCAAGGGG